TTTTACTGATGCTTATTTTAGAGATTTTATATCAGCAAAGCAAATAACTATAATCTTGAAAATGAAACGATCAGAAATATATGAAAACGAAGCCTATTAGAAAATAATAATGATACTACTACTACTACTCTTACTATTACTACTGCTTATGATAAATATAATAGTAATGATAAAGATTATGATAATGATTATAATTAAGATGATATGTCAGTGATTAGAATAATGACAAAGATATTGATAACAGGAATGGTTAATAACGATTACTACCAATAGTAAGGTACCTATAGTTGTGACGATGATAGAGATGATTGTGACTACAATAACGATAGTAATGATATGACGATAATGATGATAACGCTGCTAATAATATGAGCGATATAAATTTTGATAATGAAAATGATAATGCCAAGGATAATGATAACATTTAATCATAACTATGGTAATCAAAATAGGACTGAGAATAATGGTATTGTAAACGACAATGGTAGAATGAAATACATTTATGAAAAGGGAAGATAATAATCAAGTTAATAAATCATACCATTCTCTATTTTTCAGTGTGTTGGGGGGGCGGTGTTTAGGGAGTTCTCAGCGAATCAGAAACCGCCTCACGTTTTCTCCCGCGACAGGAAACTGGGCGTGATACTGATCATTCTTAATGCTCTTCCAATGACTTTTTTTCTTCTTTTCTTGAGAGAGAGGAAGAGAGTAAGAGTGCGTGAGCGAGTGAGAGTAAGAGTGAGAACGAAAGACAGAGATAGAGGAAAGGGGAAAACGTATACATTAATGTAGATTCTTTTATTGTGCATTTTTTACCCTCATTCCTACATTTCACATAATCATAACTTCACATTTCATAATGCATAATTATCTCCACACATAATTCTTTTCCCATTCCTCTTTATCATATCTATATATCACCCCCTTTTTTGGAGGAGGCGGGATAAAGCGAGACGCGGAGAGTGAAAGGCAGCCGTCAGAATGAGTCGGGGCGAGACCTGGATTATCTCCGGCCGAATTACTCCAAACTTTTCTCGTAGCTGCGAGGGATCTATTGCCGACCACGTTGCCAGCTCGTAGTTTAAGGGAATTTCGGTTTAAAGGGACGCGGGGGAAGGGGGTGGGGGGAGGTGAGGGGAAGGGGGAGGTGAAGGGATGGGAGGAGGGAGAGGGGATGGGAAGTGGGGCTAGGCACAGGAGAGTTTAAAGTTAAATGAGTGAGTGGATTTAAAAACACATGCACGTACGCACACACACATACAGACGCGCGCGCGCACCGATGCACACATATTCACTAAATAAGGAAGAGAGAGAAACAGACAGACAGACAGACAAAGATAGCTTGTGCAATCCAAATAGACACGCAGCTGAACCATATAGGCCTATCACGATGTATATACTGCCGTTGTCTGGTTGGGAATAGACCTATATAAGTTCCACTCCCCAGGTGGCCTAATCAGATGAAAAAGGGGAGGTAATCGAGGAGAATGGGCGTGGGGACTCATTTATCCGCTGTTATTTTAAAATCATGAACATAACGTGAAGTAGATCAAGCGCTGTTCTATTATTATTATTGTTATTATTATTATTATTCGTAAGTATTGCATTTGCATTAATTAACTCTTCGTGTTATTGTAGTCCTTATATTTATTATTTTAGTAGTAGTAGTAGTAGTGTTTTTGTTTTTGTTAGTAGTATTAGCATTAATATAATTTACATTATGATTATTGTTATTGTTGTTACTGTTATGGCTGTCATTGCCTGGTTTCCCTAACAATTATTTTTTCACATTCTCTTTTTTTTTATGAACATTCCCTCTTTCTTCGCATTTTTTTCTCACTATTTTTCAACAATATACACGTTTTCGAGGATACTTTTCTTTGAACACTTCAGCCCGCGCATTTCTCTCTCAGCACGGACTCAGGCTTACGTTATGCTAGAACTACTTAGAAAGAATTATTTCCAAAAAAAATCAAAATTACTTACAAAGTCACGCAATATTTTGGTAACGTTTTCTTTGTTTTCGTTGTTGTTGTGGTGTTTCTGTTGTTGTTGTTGTATAAGGAAAAAAATATTTACGCTCGCTTAGCTGTTTGTTTGTTTATATATTTATTATTGTCATCATGAGCTTTCAACATCATTATCAATATCCTTTCGTCTTCACTACCAATGCTGAAATCATCCTCGGCATCAAAATCATCATGATGACTTCGTTTTCATTATCACTGTATCATCAACATCAATCAACCATGACTTCATCTTAATATCACTGTATCATAATCATCATCACCATCATTACCATCCTCATTATCACCATTTTTATCATTCTCATTACTTACCGTTTCCCTTTCCCCTTCCTTCTCCTCCGCCCATTCCTTCACCTCATTATCACTAAAGCTTTTGCCATTTTGCTTCAATCGCTCACGTGCCCTCTCTCTCTTTCCCACGTTCCCCTCTCCCCCTTCTCCGTTCCCCTCGTTTAACCCTACACCCCTGTTCCTCTTTCTCTTTCCTCTCCTCTTTCGTTCCCACCTCCCTTTTCTGTCCTCACTTCTAATCGTTTCTGGTCGATTATCTCTACACATCCTTCTTCCTCTTTTCGTTTCCACTTTTATTTTCCTCTGTCTTTTGTTTCCTCCTTTATTACCCCTCTTCCCTCTTCTGTTTTATTGTTTTCCCTATTCTTTTAACCCCTTCATTCTTTGCACTCCTCACTCCCCCCCTCTCCCTTTGCCCTTTCTCTCCCCTCCTTTACCTTCACCTCCATTTTCCTTCCTTTCACCTCTTTTCTTTTTCTCACTTCTTCATTCCCACTTCCCCTTTCACCTCTTTCTCCTTTCCTTTTACCCGTACCTCCCCTGTTCACTCTTTCTTTCTCTCTTTCTTTCTTTCTCTCCTTTCCGCTCTCGGCTCGTATTTCCCCTCTATATCCCCCCCCCCAATTTTACTCATATCTCCCCTATACCCCCCCCCCCCCCGTTTCTATACACGCATAGGAACGCCCACAGAGAAAACTCGAAAAAGGGGGGTGGGGGGGGGAGGGGAAGCAAATATTTAAAAGCTCGAACGGCGAAAGGAGAAGAAGTACAATGGTGAAGGAAGGAGAACAGAGGGGAAAAATGAGAGACAATACGGCCATAGGACAATAGTGAACAAGGCTAAAAAAGTGACGGATGAGGGGAGATGGAGGGAGAGGAACTGATTTTTGAGTCCTCTTTTGTGATCGATTGGGGCTCCGAGGCGATATTGGAAGAGGGGGGGAGGGGGGCGAAAGAGGGGAGAGGGAGGGGGGAAAGGGAAGGAGAGAGAGGGCTGAGGGGGAGGGGGAAGAAGAGAGAGAGAGGAGGAAAAAGAAGGGGAGGAGGAAGAGGAAGGGGAAGGAGGGAAAGGGGGAGGGGGAAGGAGAAAGATTTGAGAGAGGGAGAGGAAGGAGAAAGAGGGTAGAGGAAGAGGAAGGAGAAAGAGAGGGAGAGGGGGAAGGAAGGAGGGAGTGCGTGAGAGGGAGGGGAAAGGGGAAAGAGGGAGGGAAGGAGAAAGAGGTGAGAGAGGGGGAAGTAAAAAGAGAGGGGAGAAAGAGGAAGGAATAGATGGAAAGACCGAGAGGGAAAGGAAGATAGAATGTCGAAGGGAAAAAAAGTATGGAGGTAGGAATGGAGAGAAAATAAAACAAACAAACAGAGACAGAGAGCGAGAAATAGAAACACACAACAATGAAAGAAAAAAGAACGGGAGAGGGAGACAGGGCGAATGAAAAGGGAGAAAGGGGGAAGAGAGAGAGAGCGAGAGAGCGAGCATTGAGGAAAGGAGAAAGGACAGCACATAGCACTCGGTAGATACATATATATATTTTTAATCTCCTTTCTCCTCCCTTTCTTTCGCAAATAGGAATGCAAAGAGAGAGAGAGAGAGAGAAAGAGAGAGAGAGAGAGAGAGAGAGAGAGAGAGAGAGAGAGAGAGAGAGAAGAGAGAGAGAGAGAGAGAGACGCGAGATGTATTCCTTGGAAGAGAAAATCGAAGTCAAGGGATCGAGGTTCGAAAGGAGTGGAAAGAGAAGGGAGGAGGAATTAGAGCAAATTGAAGTGCAGTAAGAAAGAGAGAGAATGCATGGGAGATAGGAAGGCGGATGATGAATTAAGAAAAAAAAAAAATATATATATATATGTATATAATTTTTTTGTTGTTGTCATTATTATTATTGTTGTTGTTGTTGTTGTTGGCTCGTTGTTATTGTTATTATTACTATTATTATTGTTATAATTATTATTATTATTATTATTATTATTACTATTATATTAATTTCTGTTATTTTTGTTATTATTCTTGTTGTTTTAATTTTTTGTTATTATTATTATTATTATTATTATTATTATTATTATTATTATTGTTATTATTATTATTATCATTATCATTGATAGTAGTAGTAGTAATAGTATTATCATCACCATCATCATCACCATCATCATCATCATCATCATCATCATCATCATCATCATCACCTTCACCATTATCGTCATCATCATCACTGCATGACCATTATGAATAATCATCAGCGTTAATTATCATCAGGATTAGTATTAATGATATCTTCTAAGTACGTTGATCTTAAAAAAGGACACGAGAACTGCTGTTGCGGTAACATTGAACGTGTTATTTATCAGTGACGGTCATGCTGAGCTTGTAGTTATTGTTTACCTGTTTGTTTGTTTGTTTGTTTTTCTGTATATATATATATGAATCAGTGCGAGTGTAGATGAGTCACTATCAGTGCAGATGAGTCACTGTAAATGTACTTGAGTAATGGTTCGTATAGATAAGTCAAAAGGGAGCGTGCTCTCCTGTGTTCCTACACGAAGAACATATTTTTATAACGCTAGGAGGCTCTAACTTCAAATTAAGGCCGTTCTTTGCATTCCAAGTAAGGATAAACAAGCATCCTGTTCTGTGTTAGTTTAGCATATTTTAAAAATTTCGCAGCTAATACCATTTTCTTTCCTCCCCAGGTGAGTGTCTTGAGGCGACGACAGATAAGGCAACTGATAAGGAGTAACGTAAGTATAAGTGAGATAAGGCGCTCAGTTAGGAAAAGGACAGAAGGATACGGGATCAGATAGCTGGTTTGAATAAGTATATTTATTAAGTATATTTATTTGTAAATGAATGAATTGATAGATGAAGATAGTAATTCCTCCAAATGACATATGGTTGGATATAAAACGTGTATGGATATAGAAAAGACGGGAGGTTCCGGAGTGAAATGTAGGCAAAGAAAAGAAAAGAAGAAGAAGAAGAAGAAGAAGAAGAAGAAGAAGAAGAAGAAAAAAAAAGCTGTATTTGCAAACTGTGTCTTAGATGTGTCTCGAGTTCCTGCCGAGAGCGTTTTCATGTTGTGTGCGTCCGTGCGCGTGTACGTGTGCTGGGAGGGAGAGAGGGAGAGAGGGAGGGAGGGAGGGAGGGAGGGAGGGAGGGAGGGGGAGGGAAGTTAGGAAGGTTGAGGGGGGAGGGGGAATAAGAAGGAGGAATGGAGAGGAAGGGAGGAAAGGGGAGGGGCGAGAGGGAGGGAGAGGGAAGGAGGGTAGGAAGGGTGGAAATGAGAGAAGGGGAAGCAAGGAGGAAGGGTGGGAGAGAAAAGGAAGGGAGGGTAAGAAGATGTGAGGGGGGGTCAGAGGGAAGGAATATGGAATGGTTGAAGCGGATAGAGAGGGAGAGGGAGAGAGTGAAGAAGAGAGAGACCAAGGCAGATAGGGAGGGAATGAGGTGATTGAGATAGACAGAGACACAACAAGAGGCAGATAGGGAAACAAAACGAAATACAGAAATTCAAAAAATGAAAAAAAGTGTTTAAGAGAGGAAGAGTGAAAACAGACAAACAAACACAGATGGACAGATACACACACACGCACACATAGAAACCCATGACAAAGGCGAGGATCAGGTGTGGAAACACACACTTAGACGTGGAAGGTGAAAATGATTATCGGAGTGCAATATTAGTGGAGCTGAATACCCTGCGAGAGAATAGGAGAGGGGAATGAATGGAGAGAGAGAGAGAGAGAGGGGAGAGGGAGGGGGAAGAGGGAGAGGGAGGGGGGAGAGAGATGGGGGAGGAGGAGAGAACGAGAGGCAGAGGAAGGGGGAGAGACTGAGTGATTGAATGAGTGAGTGAGGGAGGGGGAGAGAGGGAGTGAGGAAGAGTGAGAATGAATGTGTGAGAGAGAGAGAGAGAAAGAAAACGAGAACGAAAGAAAGAGGTGGGGGGAATGGGAAAAGAACGATAACGAGAGTGAACGAGCGAGACAAACAGCCAGAGAGAGAAAAGGAAACCTAGGTTAAATAAAAGTAATAAAGAAAAAAAAAACAATTATAACAAAAAAAGTAACAAGTAAAAATAGAACAGAGGGAAAAAGAGGAAGGTAAAACGACAAGGAAATCATCTATGGCTTAGCTTTTTGTTCACTTCATCGACGCTTTGCACGTCGTTTGAATCGATCGCTCAGTCAAGTCGCAACTTTATTACTCGAATTCGTGCGACTGTCACGGTCGATTAGGTGGAAGGGGGGGGAGGGGGTAGACTGTTAGGGGGAGGGGGAGGTGGTAGGGGGAAGGGGGAGAAGGTAAAGGAAATAGGGTTAGATGGTGGGGGGGGAGGAAGGTATGTGAGGGGGGGTGGGAACGGAAAGGGGGTGGAGAGGGTGGAGGGGGAGGAGGAAAAGGAAGAATGTAAGGGGGAGTGGGAGGTAAAAAGGAGAAATGGGAATGAAGAAAACGGGGAGAAAGAGGTAGAAGGGGGGAAGAAAGGTGGGAAGAGGAAGAGGAGAAGGAGGAATTGGAGGAATGTGAAAGAAGAAGAGAAGAAATAAAGAAGACTCAGGAAAAAGCGAAAAAGGAAGGCTAAAAAAGAGGAAAAGGAGGACGTGCTAAAGGAAGAAGGAATGAGAAAGTGAAGTGAACAGAAAATAAGAACAATTATAAAGAAGATAGTGTAATGGAATTTTGTGAAAGATGGCCCCAAAAAATGATAAAGAGTAAAAAGGAATTGGGAGAAAGGAGAAAGAAGAAGGAGAAAATCGCAAAGGAATCAAATCTGGAAAAGAAATTATCAGGAGGAGACAGAAAGAAAAACATTTATATCATAAAGTAAAAAAGGGAATGAAAGAAATACACACATACAAAAAAGCAAAACAAAAAAAAAAACAGATGGAGTTAGAGCAGAAAAAAATATCAAGAAGAGTGGAAACGCAAAAATGTCAACAGGCAGATAGAAGGAAAAAGAAAGAAGAGATAAAATAAGCGAAACAAACAATCTCGTCAAGGGGAGGAAGAAGAAAAAATAACAGAGGGGCGAAAGAGAAGAAGAAAATGAAAATAGAAAACCAGGAAAAATCTCGTCAAGGAGAGAGAAAAAATAGAGATAACGGAGGAGACAGAAAGAAGAAGCAGTGAATAACTAAAGGAAAAAAAAATAGAAAAAAAACGCCGGGAGAGAAAAAAACGAAGGAAAACATAGTGATAAAGCAAGATGACAAACTCGTCAAAGGAGAGAGAGAATAAAAAAAAACTGAGGAGATAACGGGAAGAAGCAAGGAATAAGTGATAAAAAAAGGAACTATCTCGTCACGAAAAAAAAGGAGATTATACGAATAAGATGGAGTTGTGATGGAATTCTGATGGAGTTAGCAAAGTGACAGGAGCTTTGGGTTATCGAAAGTGGCGATGGAGAGAGTGGACAACTGACGGTGGATGGAAAAGACGAGAGGTGGATGGAATAAGAGGGACGGGGCGGCGAAGGTGGAGGGAGGAGGGAGAAAGAGGGGGAGGAAGAGGAGGAGATGGAGGAGGAGGAGGAGGTGGTGGAGGTGGTGGAGGAGGAGGACGACGACGACGACGGCGACGAGGAGGAAATGGAGGAGGAGGAAAATGAGGAGGAGGAGGAAGTAGGGAGTAGGAGGAGGGAAAGAAGAAAAGAAATAATGAGTGAAATATGACATGTTAGTGTCACGATTAGAATCTTAGATACTTTAGAAAATATTACATAATAGTGTACTAAAACACTGAATAATATCAGAAGCATGAGGAATAAACAGAGGAAATAGAATTCAGAAAAAGCTAACAAACGGAAAGGAAAAATTATAAAGAAGAAAAAGACAAACACACGAGGATAAGCTAAAGAAATATAAAACTCGTTGGGGGAGAAAGCGAGAGAGAAGAGGACTGGAGAGAAAGTAAAAAATAGAGGAAGGGGAAAGGAGAGAGAGAGAGAGAGAGAGAGAGAGAGAGAGAGAGAGAGAGAGAGAGAGAGAGAGAGAGAGAGAGAGAGAGAGAGAGAGAGAGAGAGGGGGAGGGGGGGGGCGGGACAGGAAGAAGAGGGGAAGAAGAAAAGGGAGAGACAGAAAGACGGAGAAAGAAGAAGACAGAGAGACGCAGAAAGAGAAAGACGGAGAGACGGAGAAAGAGAACGACAGAGAGGAAGATAAAGAGAAAGAAAGACAGAGACAGAGAAATAGGGTGAAAATATGGGTTGGTAAGAAAGAGGACTGTAAGAGGGCATAAGGAGAATGAAGAGGAGAGGGGAAGGGGCATGAGGATGCTGAAGAGGGAGAGGAAGAGGGGAGATAAGGAAAAAGAAAGAAAAAATGAATAAAATATTAATTGTTGGTTGTATTTATGTGAAATTATATTATTTTATCTTATTTTTGCATTTGTGTGTTTGTGTAAGAGTATTTCCATGTGTTTTATGTTACACATGAATAAGAAATAGGTAGATAGATACACGTACTAAACATGTTTATTTACGTTATACACACTGTCCACACACACATATCCCATCTAGTATATATGTTTTCTCTACACCTTCAAAAAAGGGCAAAGAATATCACACGTATAACTACATTCATACGAGCAGAAACACACACACGCCTACTGAATCCACACAGACATAACAAAAATAAACAAAACAAAACAAATGAAACTAACAACGAAATAAGCTGAGTGTTGCTATGTTGTAAATGGGAGGGACTTGTCATGAAGGGCCATAAGTCTATGGGGGTGAAGCAAAGGGGGGGAGACGGGGGGGGGGGAGTGCTGGCAATTACCCTTGTAAGTAATTGAGGGAGAGGAGGAGGGACGGAGGGAGGGAGAAGGCTCATGAGGGGGAAGATGGGGAGAGGAGGAGGAGAGGAGGGAGGGAAGGGGGAGTGAAGTGAAGAGGAGAAAGGGAGATAGGGAGAGGAGGAAGAGGATAGAGAGGGGAGTGAGGGAAAAATGGGAAGATGAAGAGGGAAAGGGAGGGAGAAGGTTGGTGAGGGGGTATATGAGGAGAAGATGTGGGGAAGGGAAGGAGAAAGGGAAAATATAAAAGGAGGAAAAAAGATGGGGATAGGAGGAAGGAAGGAAGGAAGGGGGAAATGAAGCAAAGAGGGAGAAGGGAGACGGGTAAAGTAAAGATAACAAAGGGAGTTGGAAGTGAGAAAGAGGTGAAGGAGGGGTTGAAGTAAAGGGGGAAAGGGAGAAGAAAGGATGAGGAGAAGAAACGAGGTAAGGAGATGCAAGGGAAACCGGGTAGGAGGTAAGAGGAAAGGGAGAGAGGGGCTATGAGGTAAGAGGAAAGGGAGAAAGGGAATAGGAGGTAAGGGGGAAGCAGGGAATAGGAGAGAATGAAGGGAACAGTATTATCCCGCCATTACGACTGGGAAAACACTCTATTGCCCGTTAGTCTGGAGTGACAGTAGATAGAGGAGTGTAAGGAGGAGGGGAATGACAGTGACAAGGAGGAGGGAGAGGGAGGGGGGGAGATAGGGAGAGGGAGGAGGAGGGAGGGAGGATGACAGTGACGAGGAGGAGGAGGAGGAGGAGACGAAGTAGAAGTAGAAGCAGAAGAAGAATGACAGCGATGAAGGCAACGACGACTAGGTAAGGAGGAAAAAAGAGACAAGATAAGAAATAAAAGAATTAAGAAAACAGTAAACGTAAAGAAAGGCGAGAGAGAGAGAGAGAGAGAGAGAGAGAGAGAGAGAGAGAGAAGAAGAAGAGAGAGAGAGAGAGAGAGAGAGAAAGAGAGAGAGAGAGAGAGAGTGAAAGAAAAAGAGAAAGAAAGAGAGAGAGTAAGAGTAAGAGAGAACGTGACTTTGTGTCGCTCACCATTCTGTAATAATCACCATCCACATTACACATCGAAAAAAACATAAACTCAAATGACTAATCACCTCAAAAAAAAAAGAAAAAAAAAAGAAAAGAAAACAGGTTCAGAACAAAATCGCATCGCCATAATAAACCAAAATTTATTCGGGCAAAACACGCGGAATTTATTCACCCTAATGTATAGAATTTAACCCCATTAAGGCATTATTAAGGAGAAATTGATTGGAAACAGCTTCAAAAAAGCGCTTT